TTTAAATTTTTTATCATTGATGTCAGATCTTTTTTGATTGTAGACAGTGAAAATATTAGTAAAAGTGAAATTTCTCTGAAGTAACAAATGATATTTCAATATGTAAATTTATTTGATTCAATATTTTTCAATTAGCATAGACTTTTGTCTTTTGTTTCGGTTGCTCTTTGTATGCCATTTGTTCTTGTTGGGTTGTTGGTTGTTGTTCTACTTGCATTCCAACCATACACAGTGAAAATCAAACAAGCCCCAAAAATGGAATAAGAAAATAGACAGAGAAAATGAAATGAGCAGTAGAAATCAATAGAAATAAGCAGCAGAAACTAATGTGTTCAGAGAAATATAACTTCCAAAGAAAATTACCAATGACATAGAAAATTATAATAAATAGAAATTTCTCTGAGTTATGTTGACACAAGGACATAACTTTTTATGGCTCAAGATTTTCACTGACCTTGTGGTTGAAGTTGTGTTGGTGTTCGGTATGGTTGTGTTGCTAGTTGGACGGATAGTTCTTGAACTTGTTCATGCAATTTAGCATTTTCAGTTTCAAGCTCTGAATTTGAATACCTCAACTGTTGAATTGTTTTTGTATCGTCTTCTTTTTCAACCTCCAACGTCCTTAGTTTCATTTGGATTGTGCTTCTTTTTCTTGAAGTATTGAGTTAAGTGATGTTAGGGTTCTTATTGCAATATCCTTTTTAGCAAGTAATTCAATCCAATTTCTCTCTTCTTCTTTTTTAGATTGAGAAAGTGCCTTCAGTCTTTGACGTAGATCATCAATTTGGGCATCCTTTGATTCCTCAGATTCTTGAGGCTGATGCATTGTTGAGCCACAAATGCTATCACGTTGTTAGTCCATCGGCTCATTACGTTCTTCTTCATCACTTTCCTCCTTGTTTTCTTCTTGCTGTTCATCTTCTTCTTCACTGTCTTCTTCTTTGTGTTCATTTTGTTCTTTGTCTTCTGCTTTTATTTCTTTACTTTCTTCTCTGGCTTCTTCTTCTCCACTGCTTGCTTGATCTTCTTGTCCATTGTTGGCTTCGTATTCTTCTATGTTGCCTTCTGCTTCTTCATTCCCTCCTTCTTCAAATTGATCTTGTAATGTCTCCTTGAATTTGACAATTGCCTTTTTTGATTCTTTCTTCGTCTTTTTACCAAGACAGAACTCCTCTAATGGGTTTTTAACTAGCTGCTTGTTATCTATCTGTAACAAGAGACTCTTTTATTAGAGAAATGTTACAAAATTCACTGAGAGAAAAAATTCAAATAAGGAAAATAAAATTCATCTAAATGATACTAATGGGAAACAAACTTCAGAGAAAATTATATGGGCCAGAGAAAATTAGAGACAAAGAGTTAATTTTATGAGGCAAAGAAAATTATGAAACAAGCAACATAATTTAGATATCAGAGAAAATCAATCAAGGCATATAAGTTAATGTTTGACTATAATTGTGTTAGAGAAATTTGGATTCCAGAGAAAATTCATTAGAGGGGTAGAAATAAACAGTATTTATCAAAGATGCAAGGCACATAAGTCACATAAGTTATGAGCCAGAGAAAATTACACACAAGTTGATAAAATTTTATGGACCAGAGAAAATTATGAAACAACCAACATAATTCAGATATTAGTGAAAATCAATCAGGGCATATAAGTTAATGTGTTACAATTGTGGTCAGAGAAATTTGGATGGCAGAGAAAATTGATTACAATGGCAGAAATAGACCAGTGGTAACCAAAGAAGAAAACATAAATTGATAGTTCAGAGAAAATTGAACTTGATCAATCAATGCACAAGGAGGGAAACAAAGCAATGGTCAGAGAAATTTTGGAATTTCATTGAGATTTCAGTAGCGATAGAAATCTAACCTGTCGAGGTGCAAGAGAGTGGACTGGTGTCTTCTGCAGTTGTTTCATCAAGGTTTGTAGGTTCCACTTGGCACATCTTGGGAAGTCAGTTGTGTTACTGTCTTCCGAGTCAGTGATATTTGCATGTTCACATAGCCAATACTGTGATGAAAATTAAAGTAATTAAATTTTTCTAAACACACAAATTTGTAAGTATGATAACTACAAATTTGAATGGATATTATACTTACTAGCAATTCAATGACACACCCCGTAACTTTTTCTGGAGTTTTGTGCAATGCTATGATAGAATCAATCAATGTTGATGTGATTGTTTCTGGCCAATCATACTGTTTCATTGATTCAAGAGGTTTCACATACTTTATAAAAACCCACCATATTGAATTCCCACTTGTTGCAAAAAATAGGGCGAGACACAAGTACAATGTAACAATGATTGCTACATCTTTGAAGTCAGTTGGTTGCTTGCCTTTCATTGCTTTGACCAAGGCATTTTTAAGAACTGGACCAGTGAGCTTTATGTCCTTTTGGAATCTTCTCCTCAGGAATGCATATTTTGACTTTTTAGAGTACCTTAATGACATGGCTCCTTTACCTCCTTGCAAACCAAAAATCAAGGTAATGTCATTTGTTATAAAGGTCAACTTCTTTTTACCAACTGTGAATGCTTTTGTTTTTTCATTGTAACATTGGATTATTGCAACTACATCATCATCAAATTTTCTAGATTTCTTTGGATCCATCCTTCCAGTGGTTAGAGCTTGGATCAAATACCAGAATGGGGTCTTTTGAAGCTCTACAAGTTGGTTTGAATTGAATTTAAGTATTTGAAAAAAGAAGACAACAGATGAGAGGTTGGATCGGTATTGAATGCTGCAGTGAGCTCTCTTTCTTTGGAGTTTAACAAGTTTTTTGCCCCTTGAGCTTGAGTCTTTTGAAGTTGGTGTACTCATTTGGATGCTGGTTGCTTCATCACCTTGGACTTGTGTGTTTTGGCGAGGAGTTTGTGGTGTTTTGCTGTTGGTTTTTTATCTTAGATCATAAGAAGACTAAGAGAGTTGTTCTTTCTTGCTTGGTGTTTCCAGTGTTTTGCTGCTGGTTTTTTTTATCTTAGCTCATAAGAAGACTAAGAGAGTTTCTGTTTCTTACTTGGTGTTTCCGGTGTGTTGCTACTTTTACGTTTTGCCATTTCTAGACAATGATTAAAACATAAAGATGTCAACCTTAAATCCCAGAGAAATTTGAACATGTTAGAGAAAATTGGACATGTCAGAGAAAATTACAGATAAGAGAAAATTGGAGATGTCAGAGAAAATTTCAGATAAGGAAAAATTACAGAAAATTGGACATGCCAGAGAAGATTGGACATTAAAAATTGTCAGAGAAAATCAACAAAGAATCATGAACATGTGAGAGAAATTTTCAATAATTGTTAAAATTACATATAGAAGTAAACATACTAGAGAAAATGAATGACAGAGAAAAGTAAACGTGGCAAGCCAAAGAAAATTTTCATTCCACAATTAGCGAGATAAAATAAATAAAGTAATGTAAACATGTCACTGAAAATTACACCACATTGAAAGCAAGAATTGAACAAAATAAACATACCAGAGAAAAATACACATTCCGGAGAAAATTACACATTCTTGAGGAAAATTCCATTCCAGAGAAAATTCAATTCATAATATTAAAATGCCGGAGAAATTTATATACACAACCAGAGAAAATTAATCATGATAGAGACACACAAGGGAGGAAAGTGATGTGATGTGGTCAGAGAAAATTATAAATACCAGAGAAACCTAGACAGAGGCAAGAGAGTAATAGACATTCCATAGAAAAATACATATTCCAGATAAATTTACAAAGTAGAGAAATTCATAGACAAAATCACAGAAACATGTTCAAGAATAAGATCAACACACAGAGAAATAACTTTTTTTTTCAAAATACACCTGTCAGAGAAAATTTAAATAAGAAACATTCATTCCAGTCCATAATATTAAAATGTCAGAGAAAATTAAACATGATAGAGACACACAAGAGAGGAAAGTGATGTGATGTGGTCAGAGAAAATTATAAATACCAAAAAAACTTAGACAGAGACAAGAGAGTAATAGACATTCCAGAGAAAGATAGACATTCCAATTAAAAATACATATTACAGAGAAATTTACAGAGCATGGAAATTTATAGACAAAATCATAGAAACATGTTGAAAAATAAGATGAAAACACAGAAAATTGTTTTTTTCAAAATAAACATGCCAGAGAAAATTGGAAGAAGAAACATACATCAAGCAAAAACCAGAAAAATTCAAATGCCAGAGAAATTTACAGATAAAATTGCACAAACATGTTCAAGAATAAGTTCAAAACACACAGAAATAACTTTTTTCAAATTCAAGTAGTTTTTTATTGCGAAATTGAAACCCTAATTTATGGAAGGTTAATATAAAATGCAATTAACTGTGTTTCTAGAGAAAATCTGGTTGTATTGTATAAAAACTTACCAGAGTTAGGATGAAACTTGAATGACGAGCTGATATGGCCTGAGATGAAGATGCGACGTGACGATGATGAACTGAGATGACGATGAACGACGAACGACGAACAGTGAAAACGAGGTCAAAGAAATTTGTGAGGAAGGAATAGAAATGATTTTTGCAAAAGATAATGAAGCTCTAATGTCGATGGTGAAGATGAAATTGAAACCCTAGTTCTGCTGTACTGTTGTTCGTGAAGATGGTGGATGCTTGGAATGGAACTCAGACGTCAGAAAGTTTCGTTTCTGTGTTGATTTTGGGAAGGGTATTTTGGTCCACAAAATAATTAATAACGCGCGCCAAGTTGTTCAGGGACCTGATGCATTACTATTTTTTTTTTTGTCATTTATCCTCTAAATTATTATTATTAAGGACTTTAAAAAAAATTCCCTATTTTTTTTTGATAAACAAGTCATAAATTAAAAATAATTTTCTTTAGTTGTAATTGAAAAAATATGAAATTATATAATTTTTTCATATTATAAAATGTACGGGGTACATATTTTTCATATTTAATGATAATTAATGAAGTAAAATCTAATTAATTCACAATTTTGCCATCAAACTCTATTTATATTAAAATTTTATTTAAAATAGAATTTTGGGTTTCCAAATTTTCAGATTCTACAGTTTATAGTTGGATTTTTAACAGAGAGTTTGGTTTGTATTGCCAGCTATAAACCCTAGTGACCAAGTCAGGGGAAGAGAGAGAGAGAGAGAGAGAGAGACTGGAGATGGGAGTGGCGAGCAAAGCAGGGGACTGGGCATTCAAGGCCTTCACGGCGGGCCTCGGCGTCGCCACCATCTATCTCGCCGCCACCTTCTCCGTCAATGTCTACCGCGGCCTCTCCTGGCATAACGCCCAATCGGTCTCTCTCTCTCTCTCTCTCTCTCTCTCACACACACACACACACAACCCTATGATATTTGTCTGTAACTCTTGTTGGTGATGCTTTGTGATGATTATGCCTAATTTTTTGAGTTTGTTCTTCTTTTGAATTTGGGAAAAGTACTACATGAATCGATTTGGATTTGAAATTTTATTACTTTATTTCTCAAGTATATTCGTTATAGAATATGATTAGTCAACATTAAATTCGTGATTAATAGGTATAAACTTCACTAAAATTGTTTACAGTTTTGTGAGTTTAAGTGCTTTGGCTCTGAAATGGAGGTCCTTGGAGTGCTTTAACTTGAACTACCTGACATATTATTTGTTTCCTTTCCATTGCACCTGTGTTACATGGACCATTATCCTTCCCACCTCTGGTTTAGTAGTTCACATTCAAACCATGGGTTTTCATTCAATAGTTGATATCCGAAACACGAATGGTGTGGAAGTGTGAACTGAGCAAAAATGATTTGTGGAAATTGAATGACCCAGGAATGGTATATGTGTTGAACTCGAAGATTTTTTACATGTGATTATGGAAGAGGAAGAAGCTTCTCATATTTGATAGCAGAGTGGTTTTCTGCTTCTCATATCAAGGGGGAGATTAAAGCCTTCTTCTTCTTCTTCTTTCTTTGTTTATTAAATACAATTTTAGATATTAATGATTCATATATTATTACCACATCATGTGAATATAATGTATTTGAATCTTTCCATAGCTCTACCCTATTTTTGGAGGCATTTCAAGCTGAGTTCCATATCCCAAGACTTGGGGTTCAAGGAGATCCAATAGACAGACACCCATAGCGAACACGTGTACACAAGTCCATACAGAAAGAACCCTATCATCTCGCTTGACTTTTGCTGATGCTTTAATATCTCACGAATGCATGCCTTTTAACTGTCATTGTTTATTTCCTTCTAGCCAACTTATCTTTTTCTTGTTTGGAACTGGAAAAGTTGCTCTCTTTAACTTTTTCCTGTGTACGGATTATGTTCTAAATGTATCCCTCTTCTAACCTTTTCCATTCTAACTTTGTTTATTCTATCCATGGGAATGTTCCACAATGGATACTGCCTAGTGATTCATAGCACGGACATTGATTCCCTTGCCACGTTATCTTTTTTTTGATAAGCGAAATTTATTAACGGATGCAAAAATAATCTGTCATCCACAAAGAGAGAGAGAGAGAGAGAGAGACCACTATTGCACTCCCTCAAAACAGTCCAAGAAATGTCCTAAGCTGCAGCCCACAACTTCCTCAACTTGTAAGTAAATCAACCATTGAAGAAGTCATTACCCAAGCGATTCCATAAACAGACAAAAGTAAATTCCATCACTCACTAACCACCAGACAATATAGTGGATGATGATTAACACTTCCCCTGCCCTCTTACACATTCAATGCCAATCAATAGTCACTTTTCTCCTGTTTCCAATAGTTAAAGATAGCCTTGTGAATAGTTGTCCAAGCAAAAAATGTAAAAAACCAACCTAGGAAGAACCTTGCACCTAGAAATACCTCTCCAAGTAAGGAAGAGGTTGCCACCCCCTCTCATGTCCTGATTAAAGGAGCAAACTTGAAATTCTCTTTCTTCGATAACTAGAACATCATGAGTACCCCCATGACACCCCGAGCCATACAAGCAAGTGAGAAAAGGGAAAGGAAAAAAAAAAAAAAATCCTATCAAACAACTTCATTTATGCAATACCAACATGTAGTCCTGCAACGAAGTCATGATGATTTCATTGCTATCAAACACTGAGGACATACATTTCTGCCTCATTCTTCCTATTCAAGTTTAAAGGGCAATGCATAAGGAAATCTCAGGAGGTTTGTAGGTACTGGGCGCTTTTAACTTTCAAAGAACTCTTTAAACCCTTCATTGATGTGGTATATTTTGCATGCAGTTCTTTGGAACACTTCTTGCTTGAAACTCAGTGTTTCTGGATTACTATTGATTGGATTTTATTTGCTTCTCATTTGTAAAAGCTGTTGAACTATGTCTCTTCTCAGATTCTTGACCACTGGAGTGTTTTTGCTCTACCCCATAGTGTTGTTTTTGTTTTGTTTATTCTAACGTTAGGCTATTGTATTCGTGTTTTCCAAAGAGCTCCCTGATGTATTGCTCATTTTCTGCAGAAAATCAAGGAGGGAGGATCTAACAACCAGAACCCATAATAATTTTTTGCTGTTTATAACTAGATCATATGTATTAAGTTCAATTGTTCAAGTGAACATTGTGAGATTTATGCAATATTTTAATCTAGTGATTAGGTATTTTTGGCCTAACTCTTGCTTGCTCAATTTTCTTTTTTCATCTATTTTGGTAAAATTGTAAGTGGGCCACCAGACAATTGCTTTGAACAAATATCAAACAAGAACAACATTTGAGTGGTGTTTTCATGTGCGTTATGTTCTGTGTGAATGAGTAGTTTTGGTCTTGCCTTGTTTCAAGAAAATAGATGGCTTTTCACTATTGCTCTATTACAATCTATTTTCCTAGTTTAATGTCCTCATAAATTGTTTTTGGGTGAATAATGTCCTCATAAATTTAGTTGTTTTGTTCATTCTTCTTATAATTTGGGTGGAATTGTCACATGTTACAATTTGATCCAAGAGCATAGTTGATCAAGAGGTAGTTTCTTTGGGCATGAGATCTTTTGTCCCTGAATACTTAAAGGGTAAATTACACTTACACTTTCTGAGATTTGAATTTAATACATATTACTCGATGTTTGGAAAATTATACTAACTCCTTTATCATTGTAATTATTTAGACGGAATGAAAATATTGAATTCATGCACTCTCTTTTTTCTTGTTTTGCTTTATTTTATTTATTTTTGATAAATTACAAACATACCCTCTAAGGTTTATTTAAATTACAAATTACTCCTGTGGTTCTAGAAATTACATCATGCCCCTTAAGTTTTCTAATTTCATAACAAATAGATCTTTTTATTAATAAATCATCAAGTTAATTAACAGTTTTTAATAATGTTAAAATTTTATTTCAATTAATAATTTAGATAATTTTATTATTGTATAGGCGAACAGTTAGAAATTTTACTTTTTTAATTAATTAAAATTCTGATAAGGACGTATTTGTAATTTTTCAAACTGCAGGGACAATTCGTATTTTAAGTAAATTTTGAGGAGTGTATTTGTAATTTATCTTATTTTTTTCAACGTGATTTCCTCTGTTTTTTTATTATAAGAAGTTGTATTTTATATAAGTAGAGGATTTGTAAAATAAAACTATTAGACGAGAGGAAATGTAATTTTCAAAATATTAAGAAGTGAGATGTAATTGAACTAAATTTTAGTAGGTGTAAGTGTAATTTATCTTTAAAAGCTATTAAATTATGTCTTTAGATTACCGCACTAATAAATTTTAATATAATTCAGTAGCAGCAAGTTTTTAAGAGGACAGAATATTTGAGAAGAGAAGATGGATAACACTTTTTGGCTTCGCTTTCAACAAGAATAAGCAAGCTTGCCATGTATAATATTTTTTGTTTCCTTGTGAAATTTTTTGATCTCATTATATACACATGTTTAATCACGCCATTATAACAAACCTCCAGTCTCATTTCAAATCAGGTAATATTTCATCAACAAAAAATGGAAAAGAAATGAAAGAAAGAAAACTTAAGGTTGCGTTTAATAGAGTTTTTAAATATAATTTGAGAATATGAGTTATATTTAAAGAGTTTTAAAATTATGATTTGAATGTAGAAAATTTGTTTGGTGAATGAGTTTTGAAAAGAGTTTTTAAATTGAGTGATATGACATAATTTTTATGTAAAAATTTACAACTCATAACCAAAAACATAACCTAAAATTCTATTTAAAACTCATAAAATTTTTTTAAAAAAAACATTAGAAAATATTTTTTTTTAACATATAAAAATAATAAGTGCAAAATAAATAAATAAATAAAAAATAAAAAAATTTCAAGGACATTGTTCCGGTCAACCGGCCGGACATACGGGTACACAAATTTTCTAACGCGGGTGTGAATGTGTTTTAAAAACTGTAAACAAACGCTGCATTCAAACTAAATGGTAGAATCATATTTCCAAAGTTGTACCAAACACATCTTCTCTATACAAGACAATACATCAAAACCACTTTTTCTGGTCTACAGCATGATGTTTTAGGCTTAACTTTCAACTGTAAAAAGTTCTAATTTTGAGTGCTTGAAATGTTTGTTTAAGGTCTCTTTGGTGTTGGGGGTGGTCTACCCCCTTTTGTGCGTTGTTTTGCCTTGTTTTAAGCCATCACTTTAGGCCTTTGTAATCACCTTTGTTTGGCCTCTTCACCACTGAATTCCAGAGAAATTTTAGTGGTGGAAAGTGTGGAGGTTGCCCCCCCTCCTCTTCTCTTATGTGCTTGTGTTGATGGCTCATCAAAGTAGCATGTTTGTTAAGCTTGTTTTGGCTTGTTCTCGGCCTATTTTTGGCCTTATTTCAATATGTCATACCTCTGTTTTGGCGTACACACTTTGCTCACTTTGTGTATCTATCGCACATGTTCACTAAGATTGCATAATTTTCTTACATCCTTTCTACATGAAATGTAGTTCAGTCTATAATTCCCAAGCGTGGCATGTTTACTTATTTGCTTGTGTACGAGTTTCCTGTAGCATTTCTTTGCATAACATTTGCATCAAGATGTTTCATTACAGCCCTCTTTGCATAATCATAAGTTATGCTCTTGCATCGTACATGTCATTTGCATTTTGCCCCTGCCTGTGGGCGCATCTATTTTGTTATCTTGCCCGTTTGTCTGAGTCTTCGGCCTTGTCAAAAATGGGTCGTCTCTGGGGCTTTGACATTCACTCCCGTCCCTTCGTGACTTTTGAGTTCTGTCAAAGAGGGCTAACTGTAGACACGCCATTTTTGACCGTCCTCAAGACTTGGATGTGTTTGCAGGTACATCCAGCAACAAGTTTGATTGTTCGTCGAGCACTCGAATTTCACAGCGAAACGTCACAGGTTTGAGCTTTACAAGCCCTGTTTCATTTCTACCCCATTTTTGGACCATGCTTTGGTCTCTCCCTAGTGCTTGTTTTAGTGCACTGCCGACCATGATCAAGAGTTGTCGGCCATGGTATCTGCCCTGCCGACCACAGATAGGCCATGCCGGCCATCAATGAGGCACTGCCGTCTACCATTATTTCAATAGATGTATTTTAGATATTTTGAGTTAGCTGTGGCTCACTGAGTCATTCTCCATACACGTGTATGGAGGGATGGAGGCAAGTTTCAAGCTTGTCAAGCAAGCTTTTGCTTGCATTGCATATATATGGGAAGCTCTCTCTCCCTTCTTAGAGGTTCAGAATTTTGAGAAGAAAATTTTGACTCTCTTTCTAGAATTCTCTCCCTCCCTCTCTATATTATGCTCTATAGTGCTTGAAAGTGAGCTTTCTTCACATTTTTGCACACAACCTCTTAGCCAAACACTCCTACCTTGTTGCTAAGGTGCTTGAGGGTCTTGTGGGAGCATCAAAAGTTGGTTTTGGCTTAGAAGTTACTGGTTTTGTTGCTGTGCTTCAAGGGTAAGCCTTTTCCCCTTTTAAGCTTGTTTTTGTATACTCTCTTAGCCACCTTTGCATGTTGTTTTAGGCTTGGTTGTTAATTACAAATACCTTTGTTTTTAAGTGTTAAAAATGGTTGTTTAAAGCCTTGTTTGAATTAGGGGTGGTCTACACCCTTTTGTGGCTTATTTTGCTTTGCTTTGTGCTATCTCTTAAGGCCTTTGAGATCACCTTTTCTTGGCCTTTTAACCACTGAATTCTAGAGGAATTTCAGTGGTGGAAAGTGGGTTTTGGACCCAAAATAGGTGGGGGTAGTCCCCCCCCTTTGTATCTTGTTTGTATGTATTGATGGCCTATAAAATAAGCATGTGTTTCTACTTCTTTGTGGCTTTGTTCAAGCACTTTTTTGTGAATTTTTAGACCTTCCATAACTCTATTTTTGGCTTGTTTGATCATTGGTTCCTTGCTCTTTGTACTTGTAGTGCAATCCCACTCATTAGCCTTGTATGCTTAGTGTTTTGGCCTATTGTTCTAGCTTGTTTTGGCTCTATTTTAGCATGCTTTTGGCCTTGATTTAGCATGCTTAAACTCTATTCCAAGTGGTCTTGGTCATGTATGTCTTGCCTTGTAGGGATATAGTGTAATTGGCTTCACTAGTCTTGAGCTTTGAGGCCCTTAGCATGCTATATTTGTGATGTGTGCATGATATGGCATCATTTGGTAGGTAATTTCAGAGCTTATATCTTTGCCATACTTCCACTTAAATCACTCTTTCAATGCTTTTGAAAAGTTGAGCATTATGTCTTGTTTGTGAGCCAATACATGAGCTTATTTTTCTTGTCATCTATGCTACAAGTCTAGCATGTTTTTGCCACTATTTTGACATGCCTTACATTTGTTTTGAATGGTTAGGGTCATTTGAGCATTGCTTAGTATGGTTGTAGTGTAAAGGGTCTTGACTAGCTTTGAGTTTTGGGGCCTTTAACATGTTGTGCATGTGATGTTTGCATGGTATGGAACCATTTAGCATGTAATTTCAGTGCATATAGTGTAGTCACACTCTCATATACTTCACCCCTTCATTGCTTTTGAGGATTGTGTATCATGCCTTGCTTATAGGCCAACTTGTGTACATGTTCTTCTAGCATTTTGAGCTTCCATTTCAATATGATTAAGCCACTATTTTGGCATGTTTAACCTCTATCCGAGGTTGGTTTAGTCATTTAAGCTTGGTATTGCATGCCTCTTGTGAAATGCTCTTTACTAGCTTTGATGTTTTTGGCCTTCAATATGTTATGCTTCATTGTTTGCATGCCTTAAGGTCTTTAGCATCCCATTTCAGTGCTGAAATGTATACCATTACATGCCATCTTTCATTTGTTGTGTCACCTTTGAAAGTGGACTTAAGCCCTTTGTTCGTTTGAGCACGAAATTGAGGTATTCATGCCTAATAGTTTTAGCCTTCTCTTAAGGGTTTCTACTAACCAACGGCATGATGCTTCTTTCATGCTCAAGAAGCTTGTGGCTTGGACCCTCTTTCCAATTAGAGGACTTCTCACTTTTGGACTTAACTGGTTAAAGGATTAATAGGTAATCTAAAATGAATAAACAAAATGAATCAAAGTAAAACATGCCAAGATAACATGTTTGTGATGCATTGCATGTGTTTGGATTGGACGTTAATCCAAAAATGAGAAATGAGGGACGTTTCATACTCAAAGTGACGAAACGTTCCTCATTTCTTAGTCGCTAACACCTTTGATCGTGCATGATAGGGTGGAGGCTCATCGAGTCTATTTGTGCATTCATTGACTTGCACAAACTTGGCTTCTCGGCCATCGTGCATTGTGATGCTCGGTTGGT